AAAACGGAACTCTAAATTAAACAGACTTGGGCAAAGGAACCATGTAGTAGGGAACAACATTGGGTTCCAAAGACAAATGCAGCCAGGGACACAAGTGCCTTCCGAGTGCTCTCTTGCTCTACTTTTGTTTCTGCTTTCCACTGTGTCCCGGGATTATCATCTCACCCAGCAGAGCAGCGTTTCCGAACAGCAGCCCGCCAGCGGATCCAGAGCCTCACTTCTCACAGTGTGCATCCTTGGATGGACACGTTCCCTGCCCATGTTCAAACGTCTCAGGGAAGGACCCTTGGTAGATCAGCTTGGGTGATTGTCACACTGGGCTGACCCACTGAGCAAGGTTAAGTGTGACTCATGAGCTCAGTTTCAGGTCAGTTTCACCCTGGGGCAGTCAACAGGCCACAGAAGAGCAAGCTTATGAGGCTTGCTGGTGAGTGTAAGGATGGCAGAATCGAATCAGGCAGGAATGAGGCTGCTGCTTGTTCAACAACAGATGTCTTAGTTTGAGCCCCTCTACAAGGCAAGTCTGAGATACAGATTTGCAAGCAAGTTGCTTTTGGGGGAAGTGATCCCAGGAAATATGGGCATGGGAATAGGGAGTAAGGCCGAGAAGGGTAGGAAGCTGGTGAAGGGTATGTAATTGAGTGAGTTTCTGTGAGCAACTGGGCTCGGTCATGCTGGGGACTGAACTCAGCCTGGGGAAGACTAGGATGTGGTTGAGATAGCAATCTCAACCCATGGGGGAAGAGGCTGAAGGAATCATTCCCTGACTTCCATCCATCATTATTTGAGGGTTGCCCCTGGGGAGGCATCAACCCCCTGGTACTTCCAGGTTGCCCCATATGCAGGCAGAGGGGTCCCAGAAGCCAAGAGAGCCTCAGCCAAGAGGCGGATGCTGGCCACTGGGCACTGGAGGCCCTCCTGCTATAAATCACCAGGCTTTACAAAGTTCCCCTCAACCATCAAAACAAAGCATGTGAAGGAGAATTGGCCTGGTTCCTGACAGCACTCACTACCTGCACTGACCACTGGATGGAACAAAATTTAAATTCAGATCCATCCAATTGTTTGCAATAAGCCATATGGTCCCCACACCAGGCCGTGACTGCACAGAGGTGCTCAGCATCCAGGCCAGAGTCCAAAGGGAGGTCCTTGGCCCTGGGATGCCAACACCAGGGAATGTGGTCACCAGTGGCCAAAACGGCAAGAACTGTACATCGGCCTCCCCCCCCCTGCGAAGGAAGTCACACAAGCCGCTCAAAGACAGCAGGGCACCCAGTGATTGGGGCCATCAGTTCAGTCTTACTGTGGGCCTGGCTGGAGGGATGAGGAGCCGTGGAAGCCTTGGGCCCCCAGCTTCAGCTATTGTGAGAGACTCACTGCTGCCAAAATTCAATCTGCCCAGAGTCACAGAAATAGTAGAGAGAGGCCAAGGGGCAAAACCAGCTCCAGCCCCCTTAGCTGAGAATGGGACCATAGGGAGAAGTGTCAGAGGGGGGCTTCCCCCAGCAGTCCAGTGGTTAGGACTCTGCACTTCCAATGGAAGAAGTGCAGGTTCAATCCCTGGCCCAGGAACTAAGATCCCCCTTGCTGTGCAGCGTGGCCAAAAAGTAAAAGTTTTTTTTTTTTTTTCTAATAAAGAAGATGAAGAACCGGCAATGGATCTAGGGCCCCAGGGGAAGAGCATGGCTATGTGCCCACCTGGGGCCAGAAGAAAATAAGAATATCCACCCAATGAATCAGATAGCCAGAGTCTACAGAGCAGGAAGAAGGATTGCTGGGGTGGGAATTAAGGCAGCTGAGTTCTATAGCCTGAGCTCTCAAAACTGTATCACTTCAGCACCCTCGTGCCCAAGGATTTGGCGGTGTTCTTGGCTTTTTTACTTTCGATAACCTGAATCATTCATCCATTCATCTTCAAATGTCCATAAAGCACTTACTGTGTGCCAGGGGGTGGAGATGGAGCAATGAGCATGGTTCCCATGGCCCAACCTCTGGGCCTGGGCCCTGTGAAGATCATAGTCTGAAGGAGAAAAGGACATGAAACACACAAGCACACCGATAACTCTAGGGATGCAGCTGTAATAGGGACACAAGGGAGAAGCACATGCAAAGAGAATAAAAAGCAAAGAACCTGACCTAGTTACAAGGGTTGAGGATGGCTTTTCTGAGTGACGTTTATGTCTGGAATTTGATGCTAGCTAGCTTGTTCAGCCACTCAGTCATTTCTGACTCTTTGAGACCCCATGGACTGCAGCACACCAGGGTTCCCTATCCTCCACTGTCTCCCAGTGGAGACTCGTGTCTCAAACTCATGCTCAAACTCATGTCCACTGAGTCGGTGATGCCATCCAACCACGTCATCCCCTCTCCTGCCTTCATCTTTCCCAGTTGTCAGGGTCTTTTCCAATAGGTTGGCTCTTCACATCAGGTGGCCAAAGTATTGCAGCTTCAGCTTCAGCATCAGTCCTTCCAATGAATAGTCAGGGTTTATTTCCTTTAGGATGGTCTGGTTTGATCTCCTTGCTGTCCAAGGGACTCTCAAGAGTCTTGGAGAGTTCGAAAGCATCAATTCTTTCAAAAGCACCACAGTTCAAAAGCATCAGTTCTTCAGCACTCAGCCTTCTTTATGGTCCAACTCTCACATCTGAACATGACTACTGGAAAAACCATAGCTTTGACTATATGGACCTTTGTCAGCAAAGTGATGATGTTTCTGCTTTTTTTAAGATAGTGTCTAGGTTTGACATGGCTTTTCTTCTAAGGAGCAAGCATCTTTTAATTTCAGGCCTGCAGTCACCATCCTCGGTGATTTTGGAGCCCAAGAAGATAAAAATCTGTCATTCTTTCCACATTTTCCCCATCTATTTGCCATGAAGTGATGGGATCAAATGCTATGATCTTAGTTTTTTTGAATGTTGAGTTTTAAGCCAGCTTTTTTACTCTCCTCTTTCACTTTTATCAAGAGACTCTTTAGTTCCTCTTCACTTTCTGCCATTCAAATGGTTTCTTTATATATCTGAGGTTGTTGATATTTCTCCCAGCACTCTTGATTCCAGCTTGGGGTTCATCCAGCCTGGCATTTCACATGATGTACTCTGCATAGACGTTAAATAAGCAGGGGGACAGTATACAGCCTTGATGTACTCCTTTCCCAATATTGAACCAGTCCGTTGTTCCATATCTGGTTCTAACTGTTGTTTTTTGACCTGCATACAGGCCTCTCAGGAGACAGGTAAGGTGGTGTGGTATTCGCATGTCTTTAAGAATTTTCCAGTTTGTTGTGACCCACACAGTCAAAGGCTTTAGCATAGTCTAAATTAAGCAGAAGTAGATGTTTTTCTGGAACTCTCTTGCTTTCTCTATGATTCAACAGATGTTGATAATTTGATCTCTGGTTCCTTGCCTTTCCTAAAACCAGCTTGTACATCTGGAAGTTCTAAGTTCACATACTGCTGAAGCCCAGATTGAAGGATTTTGAGCATTACCTTGCTAGCATGTGAAATGAGCACAATTGTACAGTAGTTTGACATTCTTTGACATTGCCTTTCTTTGGGATTGGAATGAAAGCTGACCTTTTCCAGTCCAAAATTTGCTGAGTTTTCCAAATTTGCTGACATATTGAGTGCAGCACTTTCACAGTATCATCTTGAGCTATTTCAAATAGCTCAACCGGAATTCCATCACCTCCACTAGCTTTGTTCTTAGTAATGCTTCCTAAGACCCACTTGACTTCACACTCCAGGATGTCTGGCTCTAGTTGAGTGCCCACACCATCATCATTATCTGGGTCATTAAAACCTTTTTTGTATAGTTGTTCTGTGTATTCTTGCCACCTTTTCTTAATATTTTCTGCTTCCTTTAGGTCCCTACCATTTCTGTCCTTTATTGTGCCCATCTTTGCAGAAGTGTTCCCTTGGTATCTCCAATCTAGTCTTTCCCTTTCTATTGTTTCCCTCTATTTCTTTGCATTGTTCTCTTAAGAAGTCTTTCTTATCTCTCCTTGCTATTCTTTGGAACTCTGCATTCTGTTGGGTATGTCTTTTTCCTTTGCCTTTCACTTCTCTTCTCTTCTCAGCTGTTTTAAAGTCTCCTCAGACAATCATTTTGCCTTCTTGCATTTTTTTTTTTTTTACTTTGGAATGGTTTTGGTCACCACCTCCTGTACAGTGTTATGAACCTCCATCCATAGTTCTTCAGGCACTCTGTCTACTAGACCTGATCCCTTAAATCTATTGGTCACTTCCACTGTATAATCATAAGGGAATTTGATTTAGGTCATGCCTGAATGCTCCAGTGGTTTTCCCTACTTTCTTCAATTTAAGTCTGAATTTTTCAATGAGGAGTTCATGTTCTGAGCCACAGTCAGCTCCAAGTCTTGTTTTTGCTGACTGTATAGAGCTTCTCCATCTTTAGCTGCAAAGAGTATAATCAGTCCGATTTGTGTGTTCTAGAAGTTCTTATAGGTCTTCATAGAACCATTCAACTTCAGCTTCTTCAGCATTAGTGGTTGAGGCATAGACTTGGATTACTGTGATACTGAATGATTTGCCTTGAAAACGAACACAGATCATTCTGTCGTTTTTGAAATCGCACACAAGTACTGCACTTTAGACTCTTTTGTTGACTATGAGGGCTACTCTATTTCTTCCAAGGGATTCTTGTCCACAGTAGTAGATAAAATGGTAATGTGAATTAAATTCACCCATTCCCCTTCCATTCTAGTTCACTGTTTCATAAAATGTAAATGTGCAAAATGTAACGCATTCATAAAATGTCAGTGTTCACTCTGCTTGACCACGTCCAATTTACCTTGATTCGTGGATCTAACTTTCCAGGTTCCTATGCAACATTGTTCTTTACAACATCAGGCTCGGTTCTTGAGGCACTAGCCTGCTCTGTTCCCCTTTGCCTGGCAAAGTAATAAAGCCACTCTTTACTTCTCCGTAACTCTGCTTCTGTGTTTCTGTTTGACGTGGAAAGCCAAGATTTTGGCAACAAACCTGGAGGCTCGTCCGGGATCGGATCGTTGGCAGGCGGCCCCTCGGCGCCACTCAGCTTGATTGGCTGCTGGGGGATTTCTCCCCACGCCAGCTTCCTCCGGTGGAGTAGGAGGTTGGAGGGTTTCTCCGAGGTCAGAGTGTCAGGGGTCCCCTGCTGTAGGACTGGGCCTCGACCCCACCCGTCCGCCATCTTGGCAGCGGAACCCCGAGGCTGCCGTGGAGAGTAGGGGAGAGGTTGCTCTAGCAGCTGCCCAGGCTTTCTTTGTCTTGAGGACACCTTCGTTTTCTCTTCTCCGCACTGGCCCAGACGTCCACTCCGAGAAGACATTACTTTTGGAGGATCAGAAAGAGGGTATTTGGTACCTCGCAACACACCCGCCAGCAATTTGGTAAGTCTCCTGGAGTGCACACCGGGGCCTCTTTGACCTTGCCTGTTTGGGGGAACTTTGATTCCAATTTGGGGACTTCTCCCTGTGAAAGGCAGCTCCATTTGTAAGGTGCTCGTTGGACAAGGTCGCATGTCTAGTAGGTCTGGGAAGTCACATTTGGGGGCATTTGTGCCATTTGGCTTTTGATTTCTGGGCATCTCTTTGCCATCCATTTTATTTCTTGTATGACTTCCAGCTGGTGAGGTTTTGGTTTGGTTTGGTTGGCTTGGTTTGGTTACTTCGGTTTGAGCCTGCAGGTTGGTTTGCGCACACTGACATCTGCTATAAGCTGCTTGAGCTAAAACGGGAAGCACTTCCTCTAAGGTCCCACTCCCCAACGTGAGAACCCCTTTGGAAAAATTTTAAATGACAGGTGGACGTATAGGTATGATCCAATGCCAAAAAAAAGGCCTAAAAATACCCTTTTACAGTTAGATCTTTATTGCCACAGTATGAGAAAATAGACTGAAGTTCCCTTAGCTTCAGGACTCTTCTCCTATAATTAACAGTCTGGGGCTGGTCATACCAAGACCCCACCTCCCCAGAGGAAAAGTCCCTGCTGGGGCAAGTCTGCTCTTGTTATCAGGGCCAATTTGAGCACTATCTGGTCTAAATTTGGGCTGTGAAACTATGACCACAGAAAAAGATGATTTTTTTTTCACTGTGTTGCCACAATATTCTGTAGACTCCAGAGAAAATTGGTTAAAATTTTTATGAAATTGCCCTACTAGGAGAAGATACTTTTCTCTCCTTGTGCCTTGAGACCATGGATCTCAGGGACATTCATCTAAACCATCTTTAATTCCTAAAAATGAAGAGAAAAACAGAAAAAAAACAGGAAAAGAAGCCTATAAAATTTTCTTATTCCAATTGTTATTTATAAACTATTGTTTTATATTATGATATCTGATTCATGACTAAGTTTAGAAAACAAAGTTATGAGATCTCTTGTGTCTATTTGGATATATGTATATCTCAGTATGTATCTTTGTCTCTGGTTATTGCTCCTGAGATTAATTTGTAAATGAGCCCTTTAATTGACTTAAAGAAAAGTACGTGCATGCTCAGGTGCTCAGCTGTGTCCGACTCTTTGTGACCCCATGGACTGTAGCCCATTAGGCTCCTCTGCCCATAGGATTTTCCAGGAAAGAATACTGGAGTGGGTTGCCATTCCTTTCTCCAGGGGATCTTCCTGACCCAGGGATCAAACCCATGTCTCTTGAGTCTCCTGCATTGGCAGGCAGATTCTTTACCACTGGGAGGTAGGCACTTAAAAATCAAACAATTCTAAGTGCAAGGGAAATTAAGCTAAAGGATTTCAGGTTCATGTGAACTGGGAAATATTCAGTATCAGACTTGATGTTAATGTTTGTTTGTTGATGTATGTGTCAGTACTTACAATGACTTTGGTAAACATTAGTAACAAGACAGGGCTCACATGTGACAATGCCGTGAAATCCTTCCCTATTGCTTCAGGCTGTGCCTGTGGTGAAAAGGTGGTTGGGATTTTCCCTCTTTGACCAGCCTTGTTATGGGTAAGATTTATTCCATCTTGCAGCCACCACCCCTTCTGGGTGTTTTTTCAAGACTAGGAGATCTTCAACTATGCCCCCATAAAAAGCAATTGGTATTTCTCTCCCTGTGCCCAGGCCCTCAGGAGAAAAAAATAAATAGAGTGGGGAGCGGGGAAAAGCCTTCTGAACTCAAAAGGGAAAAAATTGAGATTTTTCATTCAGTCTTTATGTAAAAGTTATCTTGCAAATGGACTATTTTAATTGACTTGAAAGTAAGCACTTAAAATTAAATCTATAGAAAATTGACCAAGATAAATTTTAGGACCCATGATCTGGGAAATAGTCAGTACTGAATTGATATCTGCTACTGAAGGTGGCTTAAACTTGTTGGTTTGATTAATATAGAAATATCCTTAGAGTTATCAATGTTAAGTATAGTATTATTGTTGTACCCAGGTGTACTAGAGGTCAAATAAAACCTTATTCCATCTTTTACAGATTTGTCGACAAGAAAAGTAACTCAAAGTAAAAAAACAAAAAGAAAAACTTTTAAGAAAAGTAAGATATGTGTTTTCAGTAGAAGATGTAAGAAATAAGATATTGAATTAGGCATGATCAGGATTCTCGGAGATTGTCCCAAGTTTAGTTGGATAAATAGATTTTTGTTAGAAATGGACTAGAACGAGACTGGATTTGGTTTCTCCCTCAAGTATTCTTGAAACACGGCTTTTGATGACAGACGATGTGAGTTTCTTTGCCTTTAAGTGATTTGTATTATTCGCTTTTGACATCTATGGTTACTTTGGTTATGGACTGTGTATTGTCTCACAGTGACTGATAATCTTAACCAAGTATTTTAAAACTTTTTGACAAACTTGCCAATATCAATTTTTAATTAAAGTTCTTTTGGTTTCCAGCCAGCTTTAGGATACATTAGATGGCCCCCAAGTTGTCTTAAAGAGAAACATTTAGCTAGAATTGTTTTGTATGTTAAATGTGATCATTCATAATTCTGGCTACTGTAACCAGGTTTCTTTATCAATTAATCAGATGTTTAACCATACCTTTTTGTACTCTGATGCTGTTACAAAAAGTGTTTCATTATTAAGGAAAGTGAAAGTGTTAATCACTCAATCTGTTTGACTCTGTGATCTCATGGCCTGTAGCTTGCCAGGCTCATCTGTCCATGGAGTTCTCCAGTCAAGAATACTGAAGCGGGTTGCCATTCCCTTCTCCAGGGGATCTTCCCAACCCAGGAATCACACCCAGGTCTCTAACATCACAGGCAGATTCTTTACCATCTGAGCCACCAGGGAAGCCCTTCATTATCAAAACAATTCACAGAAAGCCATAGAAGCAGTTATAATAGCTCCTCATCAAGGTGATGGCTATGCAAGGATTCTAGCCCATACTGACTAAAAGCAAGAACCTGCCCTGCCCTTGGGGCCCCTAGATCACAGTCCAGAGATTTTTACTCTGGTAAAAATGACAGGTAGAGTCGACACCCCTACTCAGCCTTGAAGCAGTTACATAAGATGGACATCACCCCTCTGCTTCCAATAAGAGTATGGGAGTAAAATCTCTGTGGGTGGGGGACAGGGGATAAAACAGGAGGGAAGGGTCAGGGCACAGACTTTGAAGGAATGAGGTAGCCTGAGGACATGAAATGGTTAATTAAAAGCAAATCAGTCCAAGACGGTGGACTAGTCCTTGAGCCTCAGTATACACTCTTTATAACACATCAGCTAGCTAAGTGAAGGAAGTCACTTAGTTTTTGAAGGGGGTCGCCATTGTCTTCCTTACCTCCACCATAGCTTGGCCTCAGGTCAAACAATAGGGAGGGAACACAGCTCCACCCATCAACAGAAAACTGGATTAAAAATTTACTGAGCATGGCCCCGCCCATCAGAACAAGACCCAGTTTCCCCCTCAGTCAGTCTCTCCCATCAGGAAGCTTCCATAAGCCTCTAATCCTTCTCCATCAGAGGGCAGACAGAATGAAAACCACAATCACAAAAACTAACCAAACTGATCACATGGACGATAGCCTTGTCTAACTCTATGAAACTATGAGTCATGCCATGTAGGGCCAGCCAAGACAGACGGGTCATGGTGGAGAGTTCTGACAAAATGTGGTCCACTGGAGAAGGGAATGGCAAACCACTTCAGTATTCTTGCCTTGAGAACCCCATGAACAGTGTGAAAAGACTAAATGATAGGATACTGAAAGATGAAATCCCAAGGTCGGTAGGTGTCCAATATGCTACTGGAGATCAGTGGAGAAATAACTCCAGAAAAATGAAGAGACAGAGCCAAAGCAAAAACAACACCCAGTTGTGGATGCGACTGGTGATGGAAGCAAAGTCCGATGTTGTAAAGAGCAATATTGCATAGGAACCTGGAATGTTAGGTCCATGAATCAAGGCAAATTGGAAGTGGTCAAACAGGAGATGGCAAGAGTGAACATCAACATTTTTGGAATCAGTGAAACTAACACCCAAAAAAGATGCCCTTTTCATGATAGGAGACTAGAATGCAAAAGTAGGAAGTCAGGCGATACTGGGAATAACAGGCAAACTTGGCCTTGGAGTACAAAACGAAGCAGGGCAAAGGCTAACGGAGTTTTGCCAAGAGAACAAACTGGTCATAGCAAACACCCTCTTCCAACAATACAAGAGAAGACTTTACACATGGACATCACCAGATGGCAATAATCAGGTTGATTATATTCTTTGCAGCTAAAGATGGAGAAGCTCTATACAGTCAGCAAAAACACGACCTGGAGCTGATTGTGAATTAGATCATGAACTCCTTATTGCCAAATTCAGACCTAAATTGAAGAAAGTAGGGAAAACCACTAGACCACTCAGGTATGACCTAAATCAAATCCCTTACAATTATGCAGTAGAAGTGAGAAATAGATTCAAGGGATTAGATCTGATACACAGAGTGGCTGAAGAACTATAGACAGAGGTTCATGACATTGTACAGGAGGCAGTGATCAAGATCATCCCCAAGAAAAAGAAATGCAAAAAGGCAAAAATGGTTGTCTGAGGAGGACTTCCAAATAGTTGAGAAAACAAGAGAAGCTAAAGGCAAAGAAGAAAAGGAAAGATATGCCCATTTGAGTGCAGAGTTCCAAAGAATAGCAAGGAGAGGTAAGAAAGCCTTCCTCAGTGATCAATGAAAAGAAATAGAGGAAAACAATAGAATGGGAAAGAAGAACTATACAAAAAAGATCTTCATGACCCAGATAACCATGATGGTGTGATCACTCACCTAGAGCCAGACATCCTGGAATACAAAGTCAAGTGGGCCTTAGGAAGCATCATTAGGAACAAAGCTAGTGGAGGTGATGGAATTCCAGTTGAGCTATTTGAAATAGCTCAAGATGATGCTGTGAAAGTGCTGCACTCAATATGTCAGCAAATCTAGAAAACTCAGCAGTGGCCACAGGACTGGAAAAGGTCAGTTTTCATTCCAATCCCCAAGAAAGGCAATGCCAAAGAATGTTCAACCTACCACACAATTGCACTCATCTCACATGCTAGCAAAGTAATGCTCAAAATTCTCCAAGC